TGGCCTGTGTTAGTGTGCTGTGGCCTGTATTAGCATGCTGTGGCCTGTGTTAGCATGCTGTGGCCCATGTTAGCATGCTGTGGCCTGTGTTAGCGTGCTGTGGCCTGTGTTAGCATGCTGTGGCCCATGTTAGCATGCTGTGGCCTGTGTTAGCGTGCTGTGGCCCGTGTTAGTGTGCTGTGGCCTGTGTTAGCATGCTGTGGCCTGTGTTAGTGTGCTGTGGCCTGTGTTAGCATGCTGTGGCCCATGTTAGCATGCTGTGGCCTGTGTTAGCGTGCTGTGGCCTGTATTAGTGTGCTGTGGCCTGTGTTAGTGTGCTGTGGCCTGTATTAGTGTGCTGTGGCCTGTGTTAGTGTGCTGTGGCCTGTGTTAGCGTGCTGTGGCCTGTGTTAGTGTGCTGTGGCCTGTATTAGTGTGCTGTGGCCTGTGTTAGTGTGCTGTGGCCTGTGTTAGCGTGCTGTGGCCTGTGTTAGCGTGCTGTGGCCTGTATTAGCATGCTGTGGCCTGTGTTAGCATGCTGTGGCCTGTGTTAGCGTGCTGTGGCCCGTGTTAGCGTGCTGTGGCCTGTGTTAGTGTGCTGTGGCCTGTATTAGCATGCTGTGGCCCATGTTAGCATGCTGTGGCCTGTGTTAGCATGCTGTGGCCTGTGTTAGTGTGCTGTGGCCCATGTTAGCATGCTGTGGCCTGTGTTAGCGTGCTGTGGCCTGTGTTAGCGTGCTGTGGCCTGTATTAGCGTGCTGTGGCCCGTGTTAGCATGCTGTGGCCTGTGTTAGCCTGCTGTGGCTGCCATAGAAATTACTGCAACAGGTAGCTTAAAACAGACATGTGTTCTCCCATGGTTCCAGGGGCTAAAAGCTGCAATCAAGGGTGAGCTCTTTCTGATGGCTCTCAGAAGGAGGACCCTTTCTTTCCTCTTCCAACTCGAGCTGCTGGCAATCCTGGGCTTCTAGACACCTGGCAAGTCCCATGGCTTGTAGACACCTGTCTCCAGTCTCGGCCTCCATCTGCACAAGTGCGCTGCTGCAAATGTGTCTCCTTTTATCTGAGTCCATCTCCCTCACTTTCTCTTATCGAGGGCCCACCCTAATCTGGTATGACCTCATCTTAAATTGATTACATCAAGCATGTCCAACTTGTGGCCAGCAGGTTTTAAGTAAATGAGGCATGTGGCTCGCAGGCCTCGAGATTGACATGCTGGGATTACATCTTTACAGACCCTTCCACCAAATTGGGTCATATTCACAGACTAGAGGCCCTGCACGAAATTCATGTATGGGATGAGGGGTTGTCCCTCAGCCAGGCCTGCACCCTCTCCATTCTGAGACTCCTTGAGGGATGTCCGACTGCCCAGTGGGATCCTGTCTAAATGGGCAGTTGGACATCCCTCTCACAATCCAGGACTGCTGGTTCCCAACTGCTCACCTGCCTGCCTACATGATTGCCCCTAACCACTTCTATCTGACACCCTGATCACCCCCTAACCACTCCCATGCCAGCCTGATTGATGTCTAACTGCTCCCCTGCCAGCCTGCTTGCCCCCAATTTCCCTCCTCTGCTGGCCTGGTCACCCCTAACTGCCCTCCCCTGCAGGGTCGATTGCCTCCAACTGCCCTCCCTTGCAGGCCTGATGCCTCCCAACTGCCCTCTCCTGCTGGCCATCTTGTGGTGGCCATCTTGTGTTCACATAGAGGCAGGATTTTTGACCACATGGGGGCAGCTATCTTGATCTTGAATGTTGAAGTGATGGTCAATCTGCATATTACTCTTTTATTAGATAGGATAGAGGCCTGGTGCATGGGTGGGGGCCGGCTGATTTGCCCTGAAGTATGTCCTGGATCAGGGTGAGGCTTCCCTTGGGGCGTGGTGTGGCCTGAGCGAGGGGCCTGTGGTGGTTTGCAGGCCAGCCACAACCCCTGGTGACCCAAGCAGAGGCCCTGATATCTGTAATTTATCTTCTACAATTGAAACTTTGTAGCCTGAAGCTGAGTCAAGCCTCCTGCTCACTCCATGGCTGCAGCCATTTCTGTTTGGATTTGTTTATCTTCTATAATTGAAAGTTTGTATCCTTGAGTGGAGGCCTAGGCCAGCCAGGGTGTGTGGAAAGCTTGGCTTCCTCTATTGCTGGGGAAACCCAAGCCTCTCAACTGCTCTCTGTGACTGCAGCCATCTTGGTTGGGGTTAATTTGCATACTCGCTCTGATTGGCTGGTGAGTGTGCCTGGTGGGTGTGACTTGTGGGTGTAATGGAGTGATTGTTAATTGGCATATTACTCTTTTATTAGGTAGGATACTGTACTTGGGATTGGGACTTGAAAATAGCTTTTGGGCGGATGGAATGTGACCCACTGCACAACCCTCCACTGGCATCATGAAGCACATATTGCAATGGACCCTTCCCAGCCTCGGGCCCAGACAGTCTCATTGCCATGGCAACAAGACATGTGTGTCTCCCCGTGTTCCTCATTTCAGTCACTGTCCATGGAGCAGAATGGTGGCTGAATCACCTGCACAAGGGAAAGGACCTATACCTCAGCTTTTTGGTGACTGCATTTAACCAGTTCATATCAGTTAAATGCCTCTACACTGTTCATCACTTGTCTGTGAACTCCTCTGTACTGTCCTCTGAAGGGCATATTCCTGCTGATCATCACTCAGGGAGAGGCCTGGAACATGCCTAGCCTTTGCTCTGTGCCCGCAGGTGTGCGGGAAATCAGACACAGCATCCCCAGGGGTGTGATCTAATCTGCTGGGAAGGCAAACGCCACTGTGGGTTTGGAATGAAATGCAGGTATCACTCTAACAAGGCTCGTCCGCCTCAGGCACTGCGCTGGCCACATCACAGGCACTATGCTCTTTAAACCCAAGGAGGCTGTAACCCACAAGGTCAGTATCTTCTATCCATTTTATAGGCGAGGAAATAGAGGTTTAAAAGCTTACTAGTAAGTAACTTGTCCAATGGCCACTCAGGATTCCCACCAGCTCAGTCAGATTCACAAATGTGGGGTCTCGTGGACTCCCTGCGCTGCCCGGGGATTCAGCCAGGCCCTGACGGTCTGCTGCCAAACGCAGTCTAACCCCGGCCACAGACTGAGGGTGCGCAGGGGCCACGTTCCAGACGGGGTGCCTCAGCAGGCCTCCGGGCAGAGCGGCTCCTGGGCAGATGATGGGCGGCACGGAGACAGAGCAGGATGGGCAGGCTGCTCTTCCATCTCTATTCCAGCGCGGGCAGGCTGGCCTCCTACCTCCTTATTTATTGTATGAATCAACCTAAATTCAACCTTTCATTTCCATTTAGAACATGGAGCTAACTTTCAGGCTGTTTTTTAACATGCAAAGATTTGTCATGCCGGGGCCTTCATTCCTCCTCTAGAGCATTAGGCCAACAAACAGAAACAGCACAATCAAAAGAAATATGACACCAAACCAACCCTATTTTTAAGTGTTTCTAACCTTGTTTCAAAACAGCCTCTGAGGACTGTTTTCCAAACAGCCACGTAGGAAGCACAGCTGTGTAGATGTTTCCTGTTTTCTGTGCTTGAGAAGCAGGCACTACCCAAGCTGGCATTCAATAGTAACAAATATGAAAGAGAGCATTAAAAAAAAAAGTTGTAGGAATGTTAAAATCCATGCTGACTGGTTTTCCCATTTACCCAGCGGCATTCCCAGGCTAGTGTTGGCATGGAGACTGGAAAAGGAAACTTTCCACCATTCTGTCACTTGCTACTGTTTCCACTTATTTTTACTGAGCCCAATTTTAACATTTTTTTTAAAGTTTGATACTTTTGATGTTTGTATTCATTGTTTCATTCTGAAACATGAAAACGGGTGGAAAGTTAAAATCAGGCAAAGATTTGGTCTTCCAAATATTCAGCTGTTTGACATTCGGATAATTGCCCGCTTTTTTCCTTCTTTCCACATTTGGTCTAAGTGCCTTGGCACGGGGAGCCCCGAGGTCTGGCCTGACTGCCCGATCCCTCGCTGTTGTTATTACAGATGCTGAAGGCGCATCTGCTTCTCAAACGCGGTCCTGGGGCAGGGGAGCCCGCGCTCCTGGCGCCTTAGGGAGAGTCCGCGACCCAGAATCCGGGCGCTGAGCGTGGCGCGGGCACCCTGGTCCCCCGCCGCCCTGGCCCTCCCGCCGCCCTGCTCCCCTGAGGGAGGTCGGGCTGCGGTTCTCAGCGCGAGACCCAGACAGAGGGCAAGTCCCGAGAGCGACTCGCCCGCGGGAAGGCGGCGGGGCCTCCCCCAGCCCGAGGCGGCGTGCCCGGTGGAAGGGTCGGGGTGCGAGCGGCCTGGGCCGGACGCCGGCGCCGGTCTCCCCTCCGCGGCTTCCAGAGCGGCGGGCGAGCTGTGCGCCTCGTAGGGCGCCGCTCCTGGGACCCGGAGGGGAGCAGGTGGCAGCAGGGCGCACAGGAGGCGTCTGCGGGACAGAACACCGCATCCCGCCACGGGCTGCGGGCGGCTGCCTTTGCTCCCCTTTGTTCTCCCCACCCCACCCCTCCAGGTCCCCGCGTGGGTGCGCCCGCCTCTCGGGAGGGTGGACCCCGGTCAGCACCGGGGCGGGCGCCGAGCGGACCAGCGGCACGTGCCCCCCACACACACACACACACTCTCTCTCACACACACCCCCGCACACACACACACACACACACCACACACCACACACACACGTGTCCCCCGCGGAGCGCAGTGGGCGCCCTCGCATCTGGAGAGCAAATGGCGCAGCGGTCAGTCCGCGGGGCACGTGTCGCCTGGAAACGAGGGCAGCAGCGCGGGAGGCTCGGCCCGGCACCGCTCGGCCCCCGCGAACGGCCGCGGGCGCGGGGATCCGGGGTGCCTGCGTGGCGCCCGGGCGGGGCGCGGGGGGCGTGAGGGGGGCGGGGTGTGCCCGCGGCGCCCGCTGAGTCACAGCCCGGCTCCCTTTATATCCGCCCGAGGCCCGCCAGCCGCCAGCCGCAGCTCCGCGCCCGGAGAGCGCCGCCCCGCGCCCCAGCTCCGCGCCCCGCGCCCCAGCCCAGCCCGAGGGCGCCATGCGGGCCCCGCGCCCCGCCCCGGTGCTGCTGCTGCTGCTGCTGCTGTGGCCGCTGCTCGCCCCCCGCGCCGGGGCCGCCGTCATCACCGGGGTAAGCGGCCGCACCTGCTGGCTCCCGGGGTGGGGAAGGCGACGCGAGGGCTGCGAGGACGCGGGGAGGGTGTCCGGCTGGGACCGCCGGCGCCCGGGGGCGCACTGGGGGGAGTGCTGGGCGGCGGGGCACGGGGCGCCGGGGAGAAAAGTGGCCCAAGTGCGGCTCCCAGGGCCAGCACCCCTTCCCGCCCGCGCCCTCTCCCCGGGCCTCTCCGGGTTCGGTCTCTCTGTTCCGCTGGAGGATGCTCTTCAGTCTCCCCAGCGCCGTCCGGACCTGCCCGCGGGACGTGCAGCTGGTGGAGCCCTTCCTGGAACGCAGGGGCCTGGGCATCGCGCTCCGCCCCGTCCTCCGCGGGGCTCTGCTCCCCACGCGCCCCCACAGGATCCCCCCACAGGATCGCCAGGAAAGACCTTGGTCCGAGGCCACGAGTGCGCTTTGAAAGCAACGTGGGTGTTCTTTCTGGATCTCAGGGTTTTCTGTTGTGTGTGTGTGTGTGTGTGTGTGTGTGTGTTGGGGCGGGGGGGTCCCCGGCGTCTTGAGAGTCTCCCTATGAGAGTTTTCCGTTTCCAGTTCCTGATGAAGCACAGCCACGCTCCTGCATGATGGGAAAGGGCGAAGGGAGCGCTCCCCTCAGGGAGGACACCTGCGCGGGGGAGCGGGAGTGCTCCCTGTCCCGCAGGGGTGCTCCTGGGGTCAGAGCGGAATTTCTGCCCAGAACCACAGGCCGGTCCACTTCACAGCAAAGCCGCCGCTGCCCCTGCCGGCTGCCCACTGCCCACTCCCTCCTTCCCAGTCTGCCATTCTGCACCTCCCTTACCTTCTCCTCCGGTATAAGTGCGCGCTCTAGGACTGCATTTGAAAAGAAATGAAATAACGTTTAAGTTTGAGGGAAATGTCATTGTCTAGAGAAAATAAAGCTCTGTTGTCTGCATGCCAATTCCTAGGCTCAGAGCACATTGTGAGCCCTGGAACATACAGTGTTTGCTTCTGTCCGGAAGATACGCAAGTGTACGAATCGGGATATTTATTGGAGTCATTTGGAGATTTTTTAAAAATATATTTTATTGATTTTGTACAGAGAGGAAGAGAGAGAGATAGAGAGTTAGAAACATCAATGAGAGAGAGTCATCAATCAGCTGCCTCTTGCACACCCCCTACTGGGGATATGCCCACAACCAAGGTACATGCCCTTGACCGAAATCGAACCCAGGACCTTTCAGTCCCCAAGCCGATGCTCTATCCATTGAACCAAACCGGTTTCGGCCGTTTGGAGATTTTTTACAAAATGTATTTGAATAGCTTTGTCAGTAACCAGCTGGTGTGATTGAAAAATGTTTTTATAGGTCTTTCTAATACATGAGAATTAACATGATTTCCCCCTCTTCTCCCACTGGCTCGTTTAAAATTTCTGCTAATCCTCTGAGCCCCAAATTCTTTTGCAATATAAGTATCTTTTTGTTCCACTCACGGGACAGCACAGCATGAATAGATCTACAATGGCTTAAGGCTGGAGGGCATAGGAAGCAGCTGTCTAATTAAAAATATATAAACCTGTGTAATTTTTTGTAGATGTTTCCAGGAACCGAAGCTTCTTGTTACAAAATAAACTCTGTCACGTTGGATGTTTGTGTATAGAGAGGTTTGGACGAGCTTGTATAGAGTGTGTGCTGTTGTTGTAATCTTAGCTCTGAGTTACAAAAAGAGGATTCTGTTAACAGCACGGCAATAAAGAAACGCAGTTATGTCTTCATGACAGGAACCATCTGGACTCAAATGAAAAACTAAATAACTTATCTGGAGATGTTGTCTATAGGATATTAAACATCCAAGTGATTGAACTTTAAGAGATTTTTGGCTGGATGTTGATTGTCTAATAAAAAGAGTGGTTGTGGCTTCAGAATTCGGGATCTTTATCTGTTAAAATAAAACACGGCCTGAAGCCTCCACCTTGAACACTTCCTGTTTGGGGGAATATGTGTGGTCACTTAGAAGTCCTTGATTTGTTCCAGCCACGCCGGAAACGCCATGCACTGAGCAGCGCCTGGCTGTGCTGGGAGGACCACATGGGCATGATGCCGGCAGACAGATAAGAGCTGTAAGAGGGAAATGTTCAAACATCTTCCTGTAAATGCCCAGCTACCCCAAGGTGGAAATTGTAGCTTTAGTCCAGATACTTGTTTTAAATATGTTGAGAAAAAAATGTTAGCAGCCAATAAACCAATGAAAAGTAGTGAATAAGCGTGTGCCTATGTGTTTATATTTTAAGAAGTTATGGCTGTCCCCAAAACTAGAATTTTGAAGGAATGCTTTAGTTGTTTCCAATAAACATACATTTAAACTTGTGCCTAAATTATAATTTTTTTATTTCTTACATATTTTATAGGACAGGATGTTTTTACCTAATGTTGGAAAAGTAGATTACTACACACCATCCAAACAGAGCATCCTATTTTTGGTTGATTCTAGGAAAGAACAATAGACCTCCAGATCAATTTTTAAGCACATGAATTTAGACTTCATTGTTCATTCTCTCCCCTGCAGAGAGGAATCCCCGCAGTCCGGTCTTTGATTGTGTGCACTCAGTGTTTGCACTGGGAGCAGGTGCTGAGGTCTGCGTTTCCTCACCCGATGGCTGCGACAGAAGCTCCGTGGAGCTGTGATGTGCACATGTGTACACCCTAAGCCCAGTTTTCTCTCTGCAGGTTACTCCCTGGAGATAAGAGAGTAACATACGGGAAAGCCTTGGTCCACCCATTCTCACCCTGTGAGATTTCTTTCTTTAAAGAGGAAATGGTGAAAATCAAGTCAGTGGTGTGAGAAACATCTAGTCTCATGAACCAAAATGCAAATATTTAAGAAGGAAAATGAGTTCTTCTAAAATTTACATCAGTGCCTTGATGGGTCTGAAGCAGCTCATGCCAGACTTAGAGACCCTTTAAATCTCTTCGGAAAAACTGGCCCAGTGGACTCAGTTAGTAATCATACAGTCTCGTGATTTGACTTACAGAATGCTTAGTGGCTGTGTATAGTATAAGACTAATACAGACACATTTTTTTCCAAGTTCAAAGCAAATTCAGTAAAGCACTAGAGATAACTGGTGTGTATTTTTTTAATATTGTGTTTAAGATTTTCATAATGTGTGAGCAATTATTATGCCATTTAAAAAAAAACTAGGAAAACCTCTTCTGATTATATTTTGTGGCAAACACCGGACAAGTAAATGAAGACTGCAGTTTTTTATTTATGTGGTTATTATCGCAGAGCAGTTGGATGCTTAAAGCGCTTTCTTGTGGCTATTTTTAGGTCACCTGCATCTGAGTCCGCCGCTGTCCGTATTCATGTTTGCTTCTCTCGTCCCAGGCTTGCGTGGACGACTTCCAGTGCGATGGAGACACATGCTGTGCCGTGAGCCTGTGGATCAGGGGCCTTCGGCTGTGCACACCCATGGGCCGGGCAGGGCACAGCTGCCACCCGCGCTCTCGGAAAGTGAGTACTTTGTGTTCACGGCGGTTCCTCCCGGGGCAGTGCCCTCACCTGAGCAAGGCTGTGTGACCTGCAGCCCAGGTGTGGGAGCTGGAGAAGATGACAGTGGAAAGCACTTGCTCTGCCCATCCCCTTCCGCTGGAAAGAACTGTGTCCTCTTACTTATTCTAGCGATCAGTTTCCTGCCATAGTTCTCATGACATTAGAGACACTTCATAATAATTTCAAAGACATGAATTTGTTTAAAATCATTTAGGAATCCTATCTAATAAAGAGGAGATATGCTAATTGACCCTCACACCATTACAGAGATGGCAGCACCCACAGCCAATAAGGAGGGAATATGCTAATTGACTACCATGCCCTCAAAGATGGCAGCACCCACAGCTAAAAGATGGTGGTGTCCAGTCCCCTCATCCCCACTGGGGTGGCAGGAATGTGGCAAGACCAGGCCCACTACCAGGCAGGCCTGGCTGCTCTGCATGCCTGCCTCCAGAGTCCCCAGTCTGCTTAGCCCCCCCAACCGCCCAGGGCCACCTGAGGCTCAGGTATCCAGGTTCACCCAAGGCTCAGGTAACCAGAGATGGCTGAAGCTTGTGCTGCTGGCAGTGGCACAGGTGGCAGAGGTGTGACGGGACATCGCCTTTCCTTGATTGCCAGATCATCTCCTGCCCCTGAGGGCTCCCAGACTGTGAGAGGGGGAAGGCTTGGCTGAGGGACCCTCCCCCATCCAGTGCATGAATTTTTATGCTCCAGGCCTCTAGTATATCTATAATAAACCGGATGGCCAAACAACGGAGCAACTGTCCAGACAGCCTTCTGGATGACCTTCCGGGTGAAGCTGGGGCTGCAAAGGCCTACTCTCTATATATGAGACCTACTGCTAAGGCAGAAGTAAATAAGTTGTGTCTTTGGTAGAGGAGTGTGCTATGTTGTTAGTGTCTGCGTTCAGAACATAAGGATTTGTACACCTATGAGCAAAGTGGAGGCAACTGCCATTGCTGTTTTGTTATTTTAGAAAATCATTGATAATACAACTAGTGTTGTATCTTAATTTAAGATATAAAAGTAATTGACTATTTATAGGATAGATTGTTCACAGTCCTAGGGGCTAATGATAGTTCATTTTCCGCTGTATCTATCTAACATAGGGGTGTCAAACTCAATCAGAGAAGGGGCCAAAATCTAAAATCCAGCCTAAATCGCGGGCCGAATGGTTTACTGAACAGTCATAAACTGTCATTGTGATGGAAACGCAGCGGAGTGCAGTGATGACAGCGTGGTGCGGGCCACATTGCAAGGCCTGGCGGGACGGATTTGGCCCGCGGGCCTTGTGTTTGACACATGTGAATTAACAGGTCAATATCAGAGTGGCCTAAGCCACCTTTGCAGAGTTATTGGCAATGATAGGTCTGAGCTGGGAGGGCAGGGAGGAGCGAGGCTGCAGACTCCTGCCTGTGGGCCCCAACTGGTTACAGGCAGGGAGGGGGGGGGGAGGGAGCAGAGAAATGTGGGGAGCCTGGACAGTCCTTGCCCTTCAGATTGAAAACTTTTGGAACGCAAAATCTGCAGGGACACAGTGCCTAGCTCGCTAGCCCCAGGTCTGCGTGGCCCAGCAGTGCAAGGAAGTCCAGGGCACAGGGGCCGCCGGGCTAGGTGGCTGGCCGCAGGCAGAGCTGGTCCCTGCACTTCCCCTCTGCATGTTAGAAGCAAACTGGATTCCGCTCCGCTTTACCGCGTCCAAAGGTTAAAGCTGCCGCTGAACCAGCGTTTTCCGGTATTGCACAGGCCAGTGAGGCTCCCTTCCCCTTCTCGAAATAAACGTAAAGAAGCCGTTGGCTAGGGGAGAGCTGTGACTGTCTGCAGCGGGGACTCTGGCTGCTCGGAGCACCTGAAGCGGAGTGCAGCTCTCCTGTGGTTTCCTTGAGAAACACTTCCTGTTACGTGTAGACCCTCCTTCCCTGGGTTTTACCGCTCGCAGCTGCGCTGTCATTCTAAACCTGTCAGGCACCTTTAGTCCTGGCTGTTTGGAACTGGGAAGTTCTTAAGCCACCATTATTTGTCTTAGTTCCAAACCTCGGGAAGATGCCATTGGTCCAGCTGCTAGGCACAGGCCTCCCTGGGCACCGGTCTCCCCGGGCACCGGTCTCCCTGGGCACAGGTCTCCCTGGGCACAGGTCTCCCCAGGCACTGGTCTCCCTGGGCACAGGTCTCCCCTAGGCATAGGCCTCCCTGAGCACCGGTCTCCCTGGGCACAGGTCTCCCTGGGCACCGGTGTCCATGGGCACCGGTCTCCCTGGGCACCGGTCTCCATGGGCACCGGTCTCCCTGGGCACCGGTCTCCCTGGGCACCGGTCTTCCCGGGCACCGGTCTCCCTGGGCACCGGTCTCCCTGGGCACTGGTCTCCCTGGGCACAGGTCTCCCTGGGCACCGGTCTCCATGGGCACCGGTCTCCCCGGGCACCGGTCTCCCTGGGCACAGGTCTCCCTGGGCACAGGTCTCCCTGGGCACCGGTCTCCCTGGGCACCGGTCTCCATAGGCACCCGTCTCCCTGGGCACCGGTCTCCCTGGGCACCGGTCTCCATGGGCACCCGTCTCCCTGGGCACAGGTCTCCCTGGGCACAGGTCTCCCTGGGCACCGGTCTCCATAGGCACCCATCTCCCTGGGCACCGGTCTCCCTGGGCACCGGTCTCCCTGGGCACCGGTCTCCATGGGCACTGGTCTCCCCGGGCACCGGTCTCCCTGGGCACCGGTCTCCCTGGGCACCGGTCTCCCTGGGCACCGGTCTCCATGGCCACGTTCCTTTCTGATGTTGGCCGTGCTACATGTGTGCCATGTTGCCAAGAGCTGCCCTCGCTCAGCCTGTCCTTCGGGATGTGCTGCTCCCCAGCTGTCCTGGCTGCCGGGTGCAGGGCCAGGGCCGGGCAGCGGCGGGCCTGGCCTCAGCAGGAGCTGCACTGCTGGCTGTCGGTGCTGCGTGTCCGGTGCCCCCATTGTGGTGGGTCGTGGTGCTCACCGCGCTGGGGAGGAGAGTGCGTTTGTCCGGACTCCACACACCGGTGTTCAGACTGCGGCCTCGGCAGCTGCTGCACAGGTGCCAGGCCAGAGGACAGCCACAGCCTTCACTGCTTGTCTGTAGTCTACCTCCGCCCACTTCTTCCTCCCCAGACGCTGTGTGTCTGGCACAGAATTGAGTCCCATGGGCTGGGCTGGCTGGTGTGGACGGGGATTAACAGTCCGAAGTGGGAATTTGTCTCACCTTCTAGTTCCAATGGTTTCCCAGTGGGAGATGTTTTTACTTATTTATTTCCCCATCACCAATTATCCCTCCATCCCCTCTTCCACCCATCCTCCCGCACAACCACCACAGTGCTGTTCGCCCCTGAGTTCCCTTTCCTGCCCAGTCCCTCCACGCTGCCCAGCACGCCGCCTCCGAGCTGTCAGCCTGCTCTCCAAGTCTGTCTCCATTTTGCTTGTAGTTCAGTTTATTCATTAGATTCTAATTGGAGTGAAATTTTATGGCACTTGTCTTTTCCTGACTACCTTATTTCACTTAGTATAATGTTCTCCTGGTCCATCCATGCTGTCCCAAAGGATAAAATTGTCTTCATTTTTGTGGCCAAGTAGTATTCCATTGTGTAAATGTGCTACAGCTTTTTTATCTGCTCATCTATTGGTGGGCACTTGGGCTGCCCCCAAACTTTGGCTATTGTGAATAATGCTGTATTGAACATAGGGTGCACATATTCTTTCTACTTACTGTTTCTGGTTTCTTCAGATAAAACCCAGAAGTGAACTTGGTGGTTCACAGGCAGTTCTAGTTTTAATGTTTTGAGGTAACTCATTACTGCTTTCCCAGTGGCTGCACCAGTCTGCACTCTCACCAGCCGTCATGAGGGCTCCCTTTTCTCCATGTCCTCGCTAGCACTTGTCTATTGATTAATTGATGGTAGCCACTCTGACAAGTGTGAGGTGATACCTCATTGTCATTTTATTTTATTTTATTGATTTTTTTACAGAGAAGAAGAGAGAGGGATAGTTAGAAACATCGATGAGAGACAATCATTGATCAGCTGCCTCTTGCACACCCCCTACCGGGGATGTGCCCGCAACCAATGTACATGCCCTTGACCGGAATCGAACCTGGGACCTTTCAGTCCACAGGCCGACGCTCTATCCACTGAGCCAAACCGGTCTCGGCCCTCATTGTCATTTTAATTTACATTTCTCTCATGATTGGTGACATTGAGCATCTTTTCATACGTGTGTTGGCCATCAGCACATTCTCTTTGGAGAGTGTCTATTCTGGTCCTTTGCCATTTTTTAATTGGATTGTTTGGGGTTTGAGAGATTAGGATTAGGGTTAGGGTTAGGGCGAATTTTATAAGTTCTTGGTAAATTTTAGATGATAACCCTTGTTGGATGTATCGTTGGGGAATATGTTCTCCCATTTCGTGGGATGACTTCATTTCCTGATGGTTTCCTTTGCTGTGCGCAAACGTTGGGGTTTGATTTAGTCACATTTATTTGCTTTTCTTTGTTTCCTTTGCCCAAGGTGTTATATCAGAAAAAATATTGCTACAAGAAAAGTCCAAGATTTTATTGCCTATGTTTTCTTCTAGATTTTTATGACTTCAAGTCTAACATTTAAGTTTGTAAGCCAACTTTTGTTTATTCTTATGTGTGGAGTAAGGAAGTGGTTTAGTTTCATTTTTCTTTTGCACGGATCAGTTCAACTTTCCCAACACCATTTACTGAATAGATTATCTATAGCCCATCGTATGTTTCTTCCCCTCTGTCAAATAGTCACTGACTGGGAAGGTGCGGCTTTATTTCTGGGCTCTCTGTTCTGTCCATTGATCTGTGTGTCTGTTTCATGCTGGTCCTCACCACAGTGACCAGAGAGGAAGAAGAAATATACGCCTCGCAGTGATGAGTAAATAGTTTGATGTCAGGTAGTGGTACTCCTCAATTTTGTTCTTCTTTCTCAAGATTGCTGTT